TGTAGGCCACCATTGAGTCCAAGTTTCAGTGAACCAAACAAGTGAGCTGTTAGAGCCACTTCAGTTGCTTAAATATAGAATCTCTAGAAGGTACACCCATATCAATGATTTGGCTCTTTCTGGTGTTATAGTCCACCCTCCCGTTGTCCAACACCCTTAGAATCCACTCCCACATGTTTCCCAGGTTTCTTCAGATACATATTAGCAAAGTTTGTGTTAATTCTCTTGGTGCGTAAGTTATTTTCTCCTATATATACCTGTCTCCTGAACATGCTGAGCTTTGACCCCAGTTATGGGTCCAGTAAGGAGCCCTGGTGGCACAGTTGTTGAGCGCTTGGCTGCTGACCAAGGTTGGCAGTTCTAATCCACCAGGTGCTCTTTGGAAACTCTATGGGGCAGTTCTCCTCCGTCCTGTAGGGTCACTATGAGTTGGAAATCGACTTGACAGCAGTAGATTTGGTTTTTTGTTTGTTTTATGTGATCAGTGGGGACATTCCTTCAAGCAATGGTTCAGGGACCCAGCCACTCTTAATTTGGGGCTCACCATCTTCAGTGCATGGTTTCCAAGTTTGCCTGCTTGTCCGCATTAAAACAATAGGTGGAGAAAGAACTTGGAGGATCGGCCACAAAAGGTTTTTATGATTCAGCCCTGGAAGAGATGCAGATCCTTTCTGCTCACATTCCATTGAGCAGTCAGTCACATGGCCACATCTAATTCCATGGGAGTCTGGGAAAGGTAGTCTATTTGTAAACCCAGGAAAAAGATGAACCAGTTTGGTGAATAGCTAGCCAGTCTTTGCACAAGAGTGTCCTAAAAAAATGCCAAGCAAAATGAATAAAAAAGACTCATACCAAGACAAATCTTGATAAAATTTCAGTGCACTGGGGAGATTTTTGCACAATATTTTTACTGATGGGACTGCTTGGCCACCCATACCTAGGGACTTTGCATTTACAAAAGGGAGAAAAAGTGGAGCACTTGTGCCATCCTATAGCTCAACAGAGATGTTTAGAATTAGGGCCTCTTGGCATCGGAAAAATGTAGGACATTATTCCCTTAACTACGGTATGGCCCTTTGGACTGCTTGTTTAGACTGGAAGGTGATGAAGCTTTACTGTCACACTAGTCAGGACTCACAGACTGTTCAGACCCACTGGGAAATGGCGCAGGGGAGAGAGAAGAACGGTGACTTTTCTCACTGACCACTCACTGGGAGAAATGACAGAGACTGACATAAGCTGGCAATGTAGTAAATAATAAGTTGTACAAGCTTTGTTGATCCCTATTTTGAATTTTGCATCATTGCCATCTAACACAGGGCCTGGCACAGGAGTGCTCCACTAAATAGGGTGTGTGTGTGTGTGTGTGTGTGTGTGTGTGTGTGCGTGCGTGCGTGTGCGTGTGTGTAGCATATTAAGAGAAGAAACCTAAGATTGCAGTCGGATAATTCAGGTTTATGCCTCTTCTCCACTCCATTATTAGGTTTGTGACATACAGCAATTTAATGAATATCATTGAACCTCTCACATTATACCTGTAAAGTGGGGCCAGCCATGATTTTGTATTATGCTTTTTGTAAAGATCAAAGAAACTCATGCATGAAAATGCCTTTGCAGTCTTAAAAATCTGATATTACTACCTTCAGATTACTCCCAACACACCACTTTGGGTATTCTTCTAAAACAGCACCCAGTTGCCTTTCATCTTCCCTGAGGACTCAGATGAGTAAGATTATGCACTTCATGTATTTTGGAGTTTTCAAAATATATTGCGTGTTGTGGATTGAATTGTGTCCCCCCAAAATATGTGTTGTATAGATCCTAACCTCTATTCCTATGGAGGAGCCCTGGTGGCACAGTAGTTAAGAGCTATGGCTGCTAACCAAAACATTGGCAGTTGGAATCTACCAGCCACTGCTTGGAAACCCTGTGGAGTAAGTAGTTCTACTCTGTCTTAGAGGGTCGCTATGAGTTGGAATCGACTTGACAGCAGTAAGTTATACCTATGGATGTAATCCCATTTGGGAATGAGGTTTTCTTTGTTATGTTAATGAGGCCATATCAGTGTAGTGTGTGTTTTAATTATTTTTTGAACAGTTTATTGTAGTTCGGGTGAAAATTTACAGAGCAAATTAGTTTCCCATTCAACAGTTTATACACATTAAATGTTTTGTGATATTAGTTGCAATCCTCTCAATGTGATGGCACTCTACCCACGTCCTCCCTGAGTTTCCCGTTTCCATCCACCCATCTTTTCTGCCCCTTCCTGCCTCCTGACCTTTGTTTTTGGGCAAATGCTGCCCTTTTGTTCTTGTATCGTTGATTGTTCTGAGGAGCACGTTCCTTGTAGATGTTTGTTTACTTTATAGGCCTGTCTATTGTTGAGTTGCAAGGTGACCTCCAGGAGCGGGTTCAGTTCCAGGTTTGAAGGGTATCTAAGGGCCATATGTCTCAGGGGTTCCACCAGTTCTCTATCAGACCCGTAAGTCTGGTCTTTTTTTTTTTTAATGAATTTGAATTTTGTTCTACTTTTTTTTCCCTCTACTCTAACCAAGACCTTCTACTGTGATCCTGGTCAGAGCAATCAGTAGTGGTAGCCAGGCACCATCTAGATCTTCTCTTCTCCAGCATGTGGAGGCTTTGTCGTTTGGACTAATTGTTTCACTGAGTCTTTGATTTTCTTCACTCTTCTTTGCTCCAAACAGGAAGAGACTAATAGTTGTATCTCAGATGGATGTTTGCAAGCTTTTGAGACCCCAGTAGCTACTCACCAAAGTAGGATGTAGAACATTGTCTTTATGGACTATGTTATGCTGATTGACCTAGATGTCTTCGGAGACTATGGTCCTAAGTCCTCGAGCCCAGTGACTCAGTCCCTCAAGGTGTTTGGGTATAACTAAGGAGTTTTCATAACTTTGCCTCTGTGTGCTCTACTGTATACATGAATATCTTGCAGCACATACAAATAGGTATATAGGAATATTCTCTGCCAAACCTATATATACTCGTGGGGGTACTCCCATACACCATGCTACACCTGTTCAGCTTACTTATCTACCTATGTGTATCCACTTGTAAATTATTTTTTGTTATTACTGTTATTACAGGAATGTGTACGTAATAGTATTTACCATTTTTGCCTTTTACTCTTGTGTACCTCCCAGTGTCTTCCTTTGCCTTAGTCATGTTGTGCTGACATCCCCCTTATTGTGTATTGTCTTTCTCTTCACCCAAGTTAGTACACGTCTACTATCTAGTTAGTGATTTTCCCTGCCTGTCCTTCCCATTCCTGGTAACCATCAAAGAGTGTTTCTTTCTGTGTGTAAGCCTTTTCTTGACTTTTTGTAATAGTGATCTCATATGATATTCATCTTTTTGTGATTGATTTATTGCACTCAGCATAATGTCCTCCAGGTTCACAATGTTGTGAGATGTTTCTCGGATTCATCGTTACTTTTTAATGTTGCATAGTATTCCATTGTGTGTATGTATCATAGTTTCTTTATCCATTCATCTGTTGATGGACACTTAGGTTGTTTCCATCTTTTTGCTATTGTGAATAATGCTGCAAGGAACCTGGGTGTACATATATCTAGTTGTGTCACGGCTCTTATTTCTCTAGGATATATACCTAGTAGCGGGATTACTGGATCATATGGTATCTCTATTTCCAGCTTTTTAAGGAAGTGCCATACTGTTTTCCACAGTGGTTATACCATTTTACAGTCCCACCAGCAATGTATGAGAGTTCCAATCTCTGCACACCCTCACCAGCATTTGTTGTTTTGTATTTTTCATTGCCATTATTGCTGGGGTGAGATGATACCTGATTGTTGTTTTGGTTTGCATCTCTCTAATGGCTGATGATCATGACGAGCATCTCTTCATGTATTTGTTGGCCACTTGAATGTCTTCTTTGGTAAAATATCTGTTCATGTCTTTTGCCCATTTTTTAATTGGATTGTTTGCTTTTTGTTATTGAAATTTTCTATAAATTTTACAGATTAGTCCCCTGTCAGATACGTTATTGTAAAAATTTTGTCCTAGTCTGTACGTTCTCTTTTTACTCCTTTGGAGAAGTATTTTGAGGCATGTGTTTAATTTTTAGGACGTTCCAGTTGTCTAGTTTATCTTCTGTTTGTGCATTTTTAGTTATGTTTGATAGTCTATTTATGCCATAAATTAGGGCCCCTATTTTTTCTTCCATGATCTGTATAGTTTTGGTTTTATATTTAGGTCTTTGATCCATCTTGAGTTAGTTTTTGTATTTGGTATGAGGTATGGATACTGTTTAATTTTTCTGCAAATGGATAATCCAGTTTTGCCAGCACCATTTGTTAAAGAGACTCTCTCTTCCTCATTTAATGGATTTCAGCCCTTTGTCAAAGATCAGCTGTCCATAGGTGGTGAATGGGTTTACTTCTGGGTTCTCAATTCTCTTCCGTTGGTCTGTGTGTCATTGCACCAGTACGAGGCTGTTTTGACTACCAAGGCTATATAGTAGGTTAGGTTCTGAGATCTGAAAGTGTGAGGCCCCCTCCTTTGTTCTTTAGTAGTGCTTTGTTTACCCCGGGTCTCTTTGCTTTTCATATAAAGTTGGTGATTAGTTTTTCTCTCTTTAAAGAACGTTGATGGAATCTGGATCGGGATTGCGTTGTATCTATAGATCGATTTGGGTAGTATTGACATTTTCACAATGTTAAGTCTTCTATCCTCCATAGGGTTTTCAGTGGCTGATTTTTTGAAAGTAGATTGCCAGACTCCAAGGCGCCTCTGTGGACTCAAACCTCCAACCTTTCAGTTAGCAGCTGAGGGCATTAACCATTTTGTGTGTGTGTGTGTGTGTGTGTATGTATACACACACACACACACACACACACACACACACACAGTGTCGCATATTCACCCCTCACTTCTCTTCATCTTTGCAAGCAACCTAGCACTCCTTGGAGCATAATAATAAATTGTTAAATTGTTTTAATTTCTTCTCTTCTTTTCAGATGACCTGTGTAGAAAAAGCAGGAACAGATGAGAAAATGCTTATGAAGGTCTTTCGCTGTTTGGGAAGTTGGTTTAACTTGGGAGTTTTGGACAGTAACTTCATGGCTAACAATAAATTACTAGCACTCCTTTTTGAGGTTTTGGTGAGTAATGACTTTGTAATTGAAGTATTTCTGCCATGCAATCACAGCTTTAGTAACTGACCTTCAGGAACATAGCAGTGCTTTCAGATTTCTGCACAGTGATTGGAAAGTGTGTAGTAAGAAAGCAGCAGTGTTCTTTCCTTTCTGCCAAATACCAAATTAAGGTATAATTTTAATAAACTTAAAATGGAATCTAGCAGTCTTATCATTATCTGTGCAGATAAATGATTTGCATATTAAAATCCAGGTAACAAAAAACCATTGGTCTCTTTTTCCTTGTTTTGATTGGGTCTCCTCTCAATGTACCTTACCATGACATCAAAAATTCAGAAAATACAAAAAAAGGGAAGGATTAAAAAATATTTAGTGGATCCAGAGACATTTATAGATCAGAATATTATTTTTGTAGTTGAGAGAGTTTAAATATCAGGGTATGGGCATTATGGATTTTGCATTTTTGAGATTAGTAGAATAAGAGTTAATGTCTTTATATATGCTTACATGTTTCTTCCTTAAACTTTGAAAGTAGTGCCTAGTAATACATTCCTTCACCGTGGAAAATAGAAGTGAGTACTTAGAATATGACTGGTTTTTAGAACAAGAGACATAGCAATATCTCAGGCATGGATATTGAACGGGTGTTTGGGAGATGTGAATGACTTTGTCTCTTGTTCCTGGAGGGCTTACTTCAGTGAAGGTTTATTAATGTGGAAGGACTTGCTATACTGGATGTACGCTGATGCACTGTTATTTAGAAGGTCCCGGGAGACATTTTTGGCATTTCACTGTTGATGTATCCTGCTGTCACTCTTGCACCATAAGCTAAGACTCAAGAGTGTTAGAATTCTGACTGTTTTGGTAGTAATTGGCTTTGTCTCCATGTCTGTTGATACCCCACCTAAATAATAGTAATTTTGATTCTCTTTTCACCAAATTGTGTGAAGAGTAGTCACTATAAATAAATTCAAACCTCACTGTTATTTCAACAGATTTATGAATGTAATTGCATATGAATGGAAGACAGTCTGAGTTACGTTTCAAACTTGATAATGGTGATTTCTGAGAATTAGGATTGGATTAAGAAAGAAACTAAGTAGTGTGCCAGGATTATATTATCTTCTCTACTGATCTAGTGTCAGGACCCCTCTTCCACTTGTAAGAAGAGTGTCTCTAGCATCAAGGTCAAATATATTCTCTTTTTTACATTCATTCAGTAGTTCAGAATCATGCCACGTTTTAGTTTGGTTTGTACGGGTATGCTGTCGCTTACCCTCCGTGATAACACTCTGTGAAATAGGACATTACATGATTTAGACATTGTGTGAACACAATATTATATACAGGAGAGAGACGTACAGTATAGTCACTGGCCTGGGCAAAGGGACTATGCAAAAACTTTGGCTCAGCTACCACTACAGATCCTGTATGGTCGCTGCCGGGTCTCCGAGAGCTGAGCCCAGCCCAGCTGAAGCGCGCAGTCACCATCCAGCCCCAGATGCGCTGCTGGCTCCCTTCCCTTCCTTACTTCCTTCCTGCTTTTCCCACCCCACCCTAGTGGATTTTAAACACTTCCAGCCTCCCCCCCCCCCCCCCCGCTCTTCCTTCCCAGCAGTGGCTCAGCCCAGACCCCTCTGGGAAGAGCTGTGGCCTTGTCCTGGGCCTGATGCACAGGGCATCCTGGCCGAGTAGAGCAGTGCATTGATCCCTGCCTGAGGTGAGCTCAATGGGACAGGCAGCCCCCGATAAGTGCCAGGACCCCCTCCCCCTATTGCCCCAGAGCCAGGGCTGGGGGCTAACTCAGAACCTGAGAGCTAGTGAGAGAAGATAGAGTCTACAGTACTTAACAATGTCTTGTTCTCTGATCAGGATATCTGAACTCCATTATAACCTTATGGGACCACGGATGTACGCGGTTGGTTATTATGCAGCATGTACCTGTATTTGGACCACAACTTTCTTACAGAGTTTTTTCTCCTATAGCTCTTCTAAAAAAATTTTTTTAAAAATACATTTTTGTATATATTTTGATATATATAATACATTTGATTATCTGTATAACCTTTAAGACATAGTAATATAATGAATACCTTGAACTCACCACTCAACCTAGGAACAGCCTAATGAATAATTTGCATCTATATGTTCTCCCAGCCCTGCTTGTATAGCGTTTTTTCTCCTTGGAGATTCTAAATACCCTTGTTTGTTATTATTCTTTATTATTCTTGAAAGAAACAGAAACATATCACAAAAGACAAAATACGCCTTCACCAAAGCCTCTCCAGTTTGTAACAGTTTTTCTTTAGATCTGCTCCCAGTTGTCATCCTGGGACTTCCCTTTACTATGCTTCTGGGTTCAATTAACTGCTTTTTCAACCTCCTCAAATAACTTCCTCAGAAAGAATGCATGGGAAGTAAGCTTTAAGTTTTTGCATGCCTGAGAAGTATTTTTATTTTTATTTTATTCTTGATTGATGGTTTGGGTAGGTATAGAGGTGTAGGTTCAATATTATTTCCCTTCAGAATTTCAAAGGCCTTGCTTTCTTGTCTATTGGCGTTCATCATTGCTAATGAGAAGTCAGAGAGCCGTCTAATATTTGTTCCTTTCTAAGTGACCATCCTCTCTCCTCCCCAGAAGCTCGGGAACCTCTGTTTGACCTTGAGGTTCTGAAATTTCACAGTGAGGTGGTTAGGTATGGGTCCTTGGTACTTGATAAACCTTTTCATTTTGGGTAGTACTTGAATATCAGAAAAAGGATGGAAAAGATTTCTACAGACTAAAATAGGGTTGGGAACACGCTATTCCATATGGAGGGATGTATATGAACAAAAGCATGGAGATTAGGAATTGTGTGACTGTGATTGAAGTATACAAATAAGCTGATTTGCTTGGCATATAGGGAAGTAGTCAGAAATAGCCCTGGGAAGATTGATGGACATTGTCTTATCGAAGACCATGACTAATAGGCTTACATACTTAAAGTATTTATTCACAAACAGGCTGTAATTGTTTTCCTACTATCTGAGTTACAGCTTAATGATCATACTTCTTACTCCCCTATTCCTGCTATCTCCAGCAACAGGATAAGACCTCATCCAATCTACATGAAGCTGCTTCAGACTGTGTGTGCTCAGCTCTCTATGCCATTGAGAATGTGGAGACTAACTTGCCATTAGCCATGCAGCTTTTTCAGGGAGTCTTGACATTGGAGACTGCCTATCATATGGCTGTGGCACGTGAAGATTTAGACAAGTGAGTAATTGTTTAAGGCTGGAGCCCTGGTTTTACCTGCCATCTGGTGGGTTTTTTTTTTTAAGTCACATTTTATTATTCATCTATCCTTTGTGATTCTTAGTGGCTCTGGGTAAATATACAAACTGGGCATCCTAAAGATGCTCTGGTATTCTCATCTGAACCTAGAGGGGCAGACTAGATGCAGAAGGAGAGGTTGTGGAATTACCAGTCATGAAAAGTAGTAGTTTTTTACACTTATAATGGATAAGGCTTTAAGAATTAGAGTTGAACTTGAAAGCATGAAGTGTGATTTAATGGGAATTTTTATTCAAATGTTTGGTAATTGAGAATTTGAACTGACTTGTATGTGGAGAAGCTTACAATCTAAGTAAAGGTGACCATAATGAGCATTGTGGTAACAGTATAGGAGATAATGACTAGATGTCCTTAGGCTGAAGAGCTTCTTTGAATTTATTTGATCAACTATGCCTGTGAATATGTACATGTAATATCCACATTTCTGACTTGATGTTCTCATTCTTTTCTTCCTACAGGGTTTTGAATTATTGCCGTATTTTCACTGAACTATGTGAAACTTTTCTTGAAAAAATTGTTTGTACTCCAGGCCAAGGTCTCGGGGACCTACGAACTCTGGAACTTCTTCTTATCTGTGCGGGACATCCTCAGTATGAGGTAGTGTCCATAGTATACTAAAACCATTATCCTCTGAGTAGTGTATGGTGTTGTGTGTTATCTGTACTCCATTGCTTCATATCTATCTTTTTTTCTCTTGGTAAATTGTAGTCTTGTTTTTAATTAATGTGACAGCTAGATTTGTCCTTCTGAGGGGCTTTCCTCTCTGTCTTTTTGTGTTGGATTTCGGCTTCTGCTTTGAATCCTTTTCTTACCTAGTTAGCTGGGCTGACTGTTGTAGACGCCTTTAAATCCAAACAAACCCGTTGCCATCAAGTGGATTCCAAGTCATAGCGATCCTGGAGGACAGAGTAGAACTGCCCCAAATGGTTTCCAAGGCTGTAAATATTTTTTTGTTTGTTTATAGTTGTAGTTTAGATGAAGTTTACATTTCAAGTTAGTCCCCCATGCGTTGTTATGTGACCGTAATTGCTCTCCCCGTACTGTGACAGCACACTCCTCCTTTCTACCCCTGATTACCCATGTCCATTCAAACAGCTCCTAACCCTCTCTGCCTTTCCATCTCACCTCCAGACAGAAGCTGCCCATTTAGTCTCTTGTATCTACTTGAGCTAAGAGGCACATTCCTCACGAGTATCACTTTACATCCCACAGTCCAGTCCAATCCTTGTCTGAAGAGTCGGCCTTGGAAATTGTTTTAGTTCTGGGCTGATAGAGAATCCAGGGGCCATGCTTTCTGGAGTTCCTCCAGTCTCAGACCATTAAGTCTGGTCTTCTTACCAGAATTTGAGTTCTGTACCCCACCTTTCTCCTGCTCCATCAGGGACTCTCTGTTGTGTTCCCTGTCAGGGAGGTCCTTGCTGGTAGCCGGGCACCATCTAGTTCTTCTGGTCTAAGGCTGATAAAGTCTCTGGTTTATGTGGCCCCTTCTGTCCCTTGGGCTAATATTTTCCTTGTGTCTTTAGTGTTCTTCCTTCTCCTTTACTCCAGGTGGTTGGGACCAATTGATGCATCTTACATGGCCGCTTGCAAGCTTATAAGACCCCAGAAGCCACTCACCAAAGTAGGATGCAGAACATTTTCTTAATAAGCTTTGTTATGCCAGTTGACATAGATGTCCCTGAAAGGATGGTCCCCAGACCCCTAGCCCTGCTACTCTGTCCCTCAAAATGTTTGATTGTATTCAGGAAACTTCTTCGCTTTGGTTTAGTCCAGTTGTGCTGATTCCCTGTAGTGAGTGCTGTCCTTCCCTTCACCTAAGATAATTCTTATCTACTATCTAGTTAGTAAGTAACCCTCACCCTCCCTCCCCACTAGTAACCATCAAAGAATGTTTTCTGTGTTTAAACCTTTTCTTGGGTTCTTGTAATAGTGGTCTTATACAATATGTGTCCTTCTGTGACTGACTAAATTCACTCAGCATAATGACTTCCAGCTTCCTCCATGTTATGTTTCATGGCTTCATTGTTGTTCTGTATCATTGCGCAGTATTCCATTGTGTGGATGTACCATTATTTGTTTATCCATTCATCCGTTTATGGGCACCTAGGTTGTTTCCATCTTTTTGCTATTGTGAACAGTGCTGCAGTGATCATGGGTGTGCATATATGTATTCGTGTGATGGCTCTTATTTCTCTAGGATATATTCCAAGGAGCAGGATAGCTGGATAGTATGGTACTTTATTTCCAGCTTTTGAAGGAAGCGCCAAATCGATTTCCAAAGTGTTTGTACCATTTTACATTCCCACCAACAGTGTATAAGTGTTCCAGTCTCTCCACAACCTCTCCAGCATTTACTATTGTGTGTTTTTTGGAT